GGACAACGGACATTTCTGCTTATATCCCGCCTAGAAGGGAGCTAGTTAATCTCTAGGCTGGCTTGTGGTTTTGGCCTTGCAATGGTGAGTTCCGGACCAGGAGTGCCTAGATCTGCAATGCCGCTACACCGTATGGCTGGAACTACACCTAGGGTTGTGTGCAAGTCTGTTTTTGACTCGAGGCTTTGCCCTTCTGTCTGTTTGTCAATTTCAACTCTACTCCTCCTAGAACTGTCTTTGCTGTCAATTTCTGTTCATCCCTCCGAGCTTGCTTAATGATTGTCTATGTTTGTGAGTCGCAGATTATTGCACAGCAACTCTAGTCTCTCTCTGCAGAGATGGACACAAAAGGTCTGAGATTACAGACACCTGGACTTCGAAAACGAACATCCTGAAAGGTAGCAAACCAGAGGGCAAACTTAGGCTAGTCTGTTTTTGTCATTACAGTCATGGCAAAGTAGAGGAACTTTATGCAGAGAGAGAGAGAGAGAGAGAGAGAGAGAGAGAGAGAGAGAGAGAGAGAGAGAGAGAGAGAGAGAGAGAGAGAGAGAGAGAGAGAGNAGAGAGAGAGAGAGAGAGAGAGAGAGAGAGAGAGAGAGAGAGAGAGAGAGAGAGAGAGAGAGAGAGAGAGAGAGAGAGAGAGAGAGGTGGCAGGTGGCATGGCAGCCAGAGCTAAGGACTGGATTTTTAAGTAGTAGTCGAACGATGCTGGAATCCTTCTTGGCTTTCAAGGAGTGTCTAACAAGGCCCTTGTTGACGACATTAAGTCTTACTGAGGTAGCTGTGCACTGTTGTTGTGGCCCTAACTCCTGTGCAGCTGTTAAAGGTGGGGTTGAATGAGGGGTCATTGTTGTCGGAAGCAACAAAGTTCACATATGAACCTCTGTTGTGGAAATTGCCCCAGCTTTTGAGTAGAATACGGAGCTGTGGCCTGTAGTTCCGTTAAGCTCGACTGTAATGGTGACATGCAAGGTAGGCAGACAGGGATGTGAAGGATATGCAATCTGACTCGATAGATTTTGAGAATCGATGAAATCCATTTACCAAGGAAGCTAGATGAGCATCCTTGACTTTCTTTGCTGTGTTCAGTAGACGTGGTGTTGAAGAGTAAGGTTCACATCAGCAGCCTATATACAGGTTACCCGTAGGCTTTGCAGATTGACGTTAAATTCCCAAGGGTCACTGCTGGTTAACATGCTGCGTAGGATGCGTCATAAGCGCCGAAGGTACAGGGTAAAAACTTTTCGACGTTCTAAGATTATCTATGAAAGCATAAGATGGGTCTTGCATGTCCTGTGAGACCAGGGTTCACCGGGTCCAGAGGCCCACATAGGGACTGAACACATTCGTGTTTTATTTTTGTGCGTTTGTCCGTTTTGTGAATTCCAGTCTTTTTCTTTCCATTTGCCTTTTTTCTGAGGACGGATTGCGTGTTCCGCTTTGCTGAATTGAAAGTGAATCCTCATGACAGCTATCTGAGTACAAGTGCATGGGTGGCACCTAGCCCACACAGTCCATTTTCTCGGAGAAGGTGCAGTACATACAAAGCACATGGCATAACCCAGCCCCCGTATCCACTTAGTGCACAGAGCTAGCGCACATGGCACCACTGGGTCCATACATCCCATTTAGTGCGCATAGCACCGCCCACACTGTACCACCAACCCCACCACCCGAATACAGGTATATAGCGCACAAGCAAGTGCATCAGGGCTGTGCTTGTTTTGTTTGTCAGTGTCACCATACCCGCTTACCATCCAGCCCCCAGCCCCCCGCCCACACCCCTCATTCTTCCCCTCATGAATGCTATCGGCGGCAGATTGCTTGGAAGTTGGAACACATGATGCACGCCACTTGTTTCAAAAGCAACTCCGCTATGTGGCAGTGGCATTGATCAGAGCGGTATTTATTCGGGAACGGATGGCCTCTCACTTCTGGGTGTACACCATTATTCATATACCTCCTGGCTGGACATATGTCGGGTAGTGTACAGTGTACACACTCTACTCACTCCTACTCATCCAGACTCGTCATTGAAGCCATCATCATCTTTATCACTCCATGGCATGGGAACTGCCAGTTCGCTTCACTGTCTGGTCCCTGGAATGGATTGACCCCCAATCTCACTTGGAGGACCCAATGAGGTTCCTCTCTGCCCTGCTCCTCTCCTCCTCCTCTCCCTCCCTCTGCTCTCCTCCTCGTCTCCCTCCCTCCCCTTCAGCCTGTATAGAACTAGTGCGTATTTAAGAAAACAGAAAATATATAGTGCAGGTGTGAGGAAAGGCACACTGGTGTGTACGCATCCCATGCTCAGTTACACAGATGTGGTGTGCCTTGCACCTCACAAGAATGGATGGCAGTGTCATCGTAACATTGCATTATGAAAACATCACAATGATTTTGAACGCCGGAAATAGATGATGAAGTAAGACTTTCAATTTTGGATCCCTGCATCTGGCTGGAAAAGGGGTTCTTCTTCTTCTGGTGACAGTCTACAACACACATCCTTCCTGTGGGGAGTTTTTGTTTATGCATCTGCTATGGCTTGTCAGTAGAGAAGGAACCGGACTGACTTGCTGTGGGGAGTTTCTGTCTATGCATCCGCCATTTTATTTCGGAATTTTGGATCCGGATGAAATCTCCGGATGAATTCCAAATATGGGAAATCTGGCCCTGCGCAAAATAGGGTTTTTTAACTTTTTTTGGCTTGATGTCATCTTTGATATCCTAGCCAAAATGAAGATAAAATATAAAGTAAACTGATTAAAAAATATTGAGATAAAATAAATTGAGCAACTCCCCTCTAAACCCCTTGATTCCCTATCTGTACCCTCTTTGAACCCTTTGATGACCAATCAAGCTTTTGCAAGGAAGATGAGCAATAGCGAACTTCAGCAATCAAACAGCATCATACATATGAGTCCAGATAGTCGTGACCTCGAACGAACAGCAGAATTGCATCACGAGATTCACCAAATAAGAACACACCAAGAGTTCATAATTGACAATGCTGAAACAGTCTCATCATCATCAACGAAGAACCAGAGTTGATATCCTATCTGGCGCTCGGCGCCCAGACTACATGTGGCAGATCCTATCTAGCCTACACTACAATGCCGAAAGATGACGTCAACAGCATTCCCGAAGTACGAGCATATGGGGAGCAATGTCGCACGCTTCCAGCACCAGGTATGTCTCTCGCCACACTCACAACCTCGTTCCCCAACACACAGATGCCACTAGCACCCAAGGACCACCCTGCGTTTCACCCAGCTTACAGCAGCGCAGCTCGGCTATGGCTGCGTGCTCCTTCCCTGCTCGCCCGTGAGAGCGTAGGCGCCAGCCAGCAAATAGCGCAGCAGCGCTTGCGCAGCATGCAGCCAGCACCCCAATACCGAATGAGGAGGCAGGCCCTTTGCTATATCGAAGTGGCCTGCCTGCGTCCAGTCCCAGGAAGCTTCCAGTAGGCCCTGGTAGCCTGAGGCCCAGCACGACGAGAACAGGCCTTGGGCCTGAGGTGGTTGCATGTGCCCAACTGCCTTTTGGCCTGTGTTTGGCCGGGTACCTGTATCCAGCCCAGGGCCTGCTTCACATACATTCACACAGGCGGCCCAGGGCCTGGGTTCACTCAACCAACTGGTGCTGCTCAACTGCCTGAATTTCCTTGAGTTGCGTGGTGGCCAGAAAAGGGCCCTGAGGGCCTCGTCGAGCCTGCCTTCACTTAGGGCGGCCGACGGGCTGCAAAAATGGGGCCTTATGGGCTCATAGAGGCAGTGGCCTCGCACTTTCTATGAACTACCAAAAATAGGGGCGTAGTTCTGACATATTTAATATGCACAATATCACATTTTAAAAGTTTTTTTTAACTTTTGTTTTTTTCATATTTTTTTGGGTATTTTGTCTTTCAATTGTCTGGATTTCTGGATAATCCTACCCTGGATAATCCGGCCAGATAATCCGACTAGAAATTCTGGCCAGACTGGCCTCCTTTTCGTGCGGCGGTCCAGGAGGCCAAGCCCCTAAAGAATGCAGAGGTTCGTTGCGAAAGTCTGCCTTTGAAAGGTAGTGGTGGTAGTTTGTTAAGCCAGCAGTACCTTTCCCACTCGTTTTATCCCTACCTCCAGCATGATCAGAGATCAATTGCAGGCTTGGTGTAGGCTCGGTGTTGGCTTGGTCCAGAGTAGTTGCAGGAAAATTAAAAGGCAGTGGGGGGGGGGGGTTGCATGGATTTCTTTCTCAGTTCTCTATCTTTCATTCATATAGCCTTCTCAGTTGTGAGCAAAGTGACAATGCGCCAGGCGAAGCTCTTTTCCGTGGTTGAAGATTGTGATGCAGTTTGTGTCGTTGTGGGCAAGTACATAAAATCTATGCACGGGAGTACATAATTTTGCATTGGATTCGGTAATTTCTGAATTGCAATTTTGTATTTTTTTTCAGTGGGACGCTGGACCCGTTTTCAAGCAGGCGCTGCTCCCCACTAGATTGGAGCAATCAGGCGGCCCGCTAGGAGGGGTGCTCATATCACCCCTCCTAGCGTGGCAGCGTGGTTTTCAAAAAAAAAAAAAGAAAAAAAATTGAAAAAATGATGGTCCTGCGAATATCTTTCCAGCTTAGTGTCTCATTTGATGTTCGGTTCAACCACCAGTGGTTGGCCCATACATGGGCCATGGGCTTTACGCATTGACGGCCACATTTTTCGGGGGTTGGGTTTCTGGACGGAAATGGCTGCAGGCGCCTGCCAAAAGCAGGCATGCGTCTATTCGTATTTTTTGGCCCGCAGGGCAAATTTAGGCTCGACATCACGAGCTGGGCGAAGTACTGGTGGTGGTTCAAAGTCGCCTATCGCTGTCTGTGAAATTCGTGTTGCTAATCAGCTTCTGAAATTCTGAATGGCTATGCACTGTGTCATTGAAGAAGTAAAAAAATGAGTGAGGAATCTCTAGTCGTATGTGGGAGTCTACTGACGTCGACCGCTGTTTATTTGTTGTGCGTATCTGCAGAACCCGTGTTGTGCTGAAGAGAACTGGTGACGTTCTGGATCTTGTACCACCCCCTACAAAAGTGCATAATTTGATTTTTGGAAGAACATGGATAGACTCCTATGGGGATATGGTCTTGACGAATTTGACCACAGGTGACAAGGTGGTACTGTATTTCCAACCGTGTGGGTGGTTCGGGTAAGCTCCAATTCGTTCATGCTCTGTGTGTATCTGTGGTGGTGTGTGTGTTCGTATGGGTATGTTTGAGTGCAAAAAAAGAAAACAGAATGAACTGAACAAAGAAAGGAAAAAGGAACGAGATGAAAAGAATAGTAATGAAATGAAGGAAAGGAAAGAGAGGAGACGAGGAGAAAAGAAAACAAACTGTGGAGGGCTATTCATTCCTTATTTTCAAGATGACAGACCGTTGTTTTCTGAAAGGGCTGCGGCCTTTCAAGGATACAGAGAATATTAGCATGGTGTCTAGCATAGTAAAAGGGCCTTTACGAACTAGACCCCAAATGAATGCCCCAGCAGCAAGGGGGCCTGTCGGCCAGAACTTAAATTCACGAGCAGCAACCCAAAAGACAAGTTCCCTGAGGCATATGTCGCACCCAGAATGAGATGAAAAGTTGTTTTGAAAGGTCACAAACAGGTCCTGAAAGAACAGGTATTGGACACAGTTTTCAAGACTGAGTTAGGGTCATGTCTCCTCGATGAAAAGTCACGTCTGCTCGGCAATGAGTCAAAGGCCACAATCCCAGATCAGTCATAATCCCACGAGTCAGTCCTGATTCAGACCAGGAGTCCAAAAGACAGGCCCGATGACCCAAAGGAGCAGCAGACCATGGGAAAAGATACTGGGACACACACTTTGCAACAGAAGGTACTGGGCAGGAGTCCCAGGCACACTTGAGGCTGAACGCAGGCCACGCCAGACCAGTCCAGCACTATAAAGGACTGGCTAGCCTCCCATTTGGACAGATGCTCACTTCGCATGAGAGTGTGGAAGTCCCGTGGCACTTGTGCGCTGGATGTGTGTGAGCTGCGCTAGGCTGTGAGCGGCGCTACGTGAAAGAGGGGAAGAAGGGCGCTGGCTGGAAGGAAGGCAGTCATAGCTGCGCCAGTGCTAGTTAGTATACTAGTAGGAATAGTTAGTGGAAAATACCAGTGAGTAGTATTCAGAGTAGATCCTCGTGTGATAGGGAGTGTGCATGCATGATGAGTGGGAGTAGACCACGACAATAGACATAGAGTTAGAGAGAGAAGAAGGCAGACGAGAGAGGGGGAGGTGTGAGCTATGGTGACACTTACCTGTTGAGCACTGTTGTTGACGTTTGGCAGCTGGCGCTGATGAGCGCCAGGCTTTGGACTCATGTTGATTGAAGAAGACTTGTAACTCTGTTCAGCGCTATGCATTTTGGACTCACGAATTTCCTCTCTTAATCTGGTTATGATAATTGAGTTGAGCTTCCTGGTTCGCATTCATCTTCTATTGGGTTTTGTGTGAGACATCGCAATCTGTGAAATCAGTGTATATGCATGTGATCTGATGCACTCAGAGCAAGTGATGAACAGTCGGGTTCCTTGCAATAGATCGAGAAATGGTCCAAATAAAACAAAGGAAATTGTCTATGTCATGCATGGAGAACCTGAAGGCTGATGCAGTCTCTCCTTTGCATCCTCAAAAATCCCAGAAGGCAAGTGCATGGTCTGGAATGTGTTGTCCTCTGAAGACCGCTCCAGTCGAATCCCTTTCCAGAAGTTTTCACCAACTGTTCGGAACCGAGTTGAGATGTTTTGAGGGATGTCTGTAGGTTGTGACGGGCTTCAATTGGCTCCTCAATTCCTTTCCCGTCTTCCATCCTCTTGGCTCATCTCTCCAGATGTGTTTGATTTGCCATTCCTCAGTTCTGACTCCTCCCACTCTCCCTTTCTTTACTCCCTCCTTCCCCTTGTGCGGTCTCACTAAATGCAGAGGAATGCGCATCATTAAGAGAACAGACAAAATATAAGCTGGAGATTTGCTCAAAATGAGTGGGAGTATTCCTCCCCCTCCATTTTGCCTCCTTTCATAGTCTTCAAGAAGGCAGTTACGTCAAATGGGGATGTGGGCAGCTTGCGCTCAACCAGAATCAAAATGCAGGCCTTGTACGTTAGAGGCATAGTAAAAGGGGAGGTGTGAGAAGAAAAGAAAAGGGCACCCCAAACAACGCCAAGGTAAAGATATTAAAGAAAGGGCTGTATGAGTAAAAGACAATATATATATCAATATAACGGATTTATTGTGCTTCATGTTGTTTGCTATAGAGGTAAAACTGTTCATTGTCTATAGCTGCTGCAATTTTGGATCTCTACTCGTCTGGATGGAAAAGGGGCTGTTGTGGTGACAATTTTCAATACACAATCAACCGGATTCTACCACGAACAGTGAACGAACCTCTTTAGGTGATGATGGGTGTGCCCTCCCATTGTGTCGTTGCACACCTACAGTTCGGTTGCCATGTACATGGCATAGCCTCTGCTCTGAATACTATGAAGGGATGGTGGCTGCCATGGAAACTGCGATCATTTGTCTTGGTCCTTTTCGTTTAGGTGCCAGGTCTCGTCGTTTGAGCGCCAGTTAGGCCCTGGCCTTGGCACTGTTGGCCTCCGAGGCAGTCCAGCGATATATATAGCTGGTCTGCCTACCTTCTAACCCCGAATACAACGTACGGTCATTATAGCTGAATTTGGGATAGCTTTCAGTCTAAATACAGGTATAATGATTGTATGTTGTATTTGGGGGAATAAGGTAGCTGTCGGTAGGTAGTATTGAGTAGCAGTCTTCAGCGGTAGCTTAGTCGACCCGTTGAAACTCTTATGGAACCCAAACACTGACTGGCCTTATGTGCTGTTCTAGAGTAGTCTGCTGACAGATGAAGACAAAGTGCCCCAGTGAAGGAAGAGGACAAAATGAGACTTCTTTTTAGTGATGACAACAAGCGACAATGTGGTTGGCATTCTGCCTGCATTTCTCCTACCTTCCTGACCCAATTGAAGAACTCGAAATTATCTATTTCAAACGATTTGTGCTTCTCAGATTTGTGTGTGCACTGGCAACACCAGTCTCCCTTGTTTTCCCATATTGCATGGGTGTTATGATGTTGATGGAACTCGTTGATCTCTGTTGTCCTTGGCTTGCCCAGTGTGGGAAGGTACGAGGTTGATGGCTACGTCTATGATGCAAATGAGACCCCAAAGTACATAGTCTCGGGGAAGTGGAACAGCAGCATGGGCTACGTTAAATGTGATGCAGATGGTGAGCCTCTGGAGGGCCAGGAGTTGGAGAAAATTTGGGAGGTGGCACCGGCTCCCGAAAACGATAAGTACAGCTACACGTACTTCGCACACAAGATCAACAACTTCGATTCCAGCCCGAAACACATGCTGCCTTCCGATTCTAGAGTTAGGCCAGACCGATTGGCTCTTGAGAAGGGGGATTCGAGCACAGCAGCTGCAGAGAAGCACCGGTAAGCACTTGCTCTGTAACAGTTGTTCTTTTGTCCTAAAAATTTCTTCTGTACTTCGAAGGCTATGCAGTCCGTCTTAAAGAGCCAAATTTGGGTGGAATTTTCTATCCGGACGCGTTCCAGCAGAGAAGAACACTTTTGCCAAAAGATTTGATGTGTTGTTTACTTGGACAGATGATTGTGTGATGGATCCTGTTTGGCTTGTGCGTATGCAGCCTGTGCTTTTTAGCTTTATAACCTGCGTGAAAATGGGATAGGGTCATTGGGGTGTTATTTATTCATGCTCTCTTCTTTGCCCTTTAGGTGGAACGGTATGGGATAGTGCAGTATTTCTCTACACCACGTCTGTTTTCTGCAGTATTTCTCTACACCACGTCTGTTTTCTGCACAAAGTCGTTTCTCTCTGCCAGTTCACCTATACACTGAGGATGTTAGACTGGGCAGCATCGTTGAAGGCTCTCTTCTGGGCATGGAATGATGGAAAATTGGAAATATATTATTCAGACATAATTTGAAATAATTTGTTCATCCATGTGGAGCACATCTTGAGTGGACCTCTATAAGACTGAGATGCCTGTGCTCGCAGCTGCATAGCCATTGCTTGGCACCGAACCATGCTGACTATCCGCACTGGAACACAATTGGATATTGGTTCATCTGTGCTGACACACGGTGGAAGGAGAGGAATATTTTGAAGGACATAAGTGGTGCAAGGAATATGAGCAAGAGGGATAGACAGAAATCCAAGTTGCAAAATCGCGGAGTAGTCCAGATAGTCATGTGCCAAGCAGAGAGCACAATGCACCAAGAGACCATCCAAATAAGAGCAATACAATGATCTCGAGTGCCAATGCCGACGCTCTCTGGTCACACCAACACTGTATCCAATGTTGCTCCTACTGTCTGGCGCCCGGCGCCCAGCCTACACTACTCAGCCTATCTATCATATATACGTTCATGGAACTGGATCACATCGAAGTTGAAGACCAATGTACGTGACGTCATCACCAATGCCGACCGCCAGCATACACCAGGTACGTTCTCTCTCCTCCCCTCATCATACCCTGTCTCCCCTCTGCATGCGCCTCCTCTACCCTGAAGACCACCATCGCCATCACCTGCCTGCGCCCCAGCAGCCCGGCTATGGCCGCCGTGCGCCCACTGCTGCAGCAGCGCCCCTCTCATCTCTGCATGCGCCTCCTCCCTGAAGACCACCATCACCATCACCTGCCTGTGCCCCAGCAGCCCAGCTATGGGCGCCGTGCGCCCACTGCCTCAGCAGCGCCCATCTCACCTCTGCATGCGCCTCCTTCACGAAGACCACCACCGCCATCACCTGCCTGCGCCCCAGCAGCCCGGCTATGGCCGGCGTGCTCCCACTGCGTCAGCAGCACCCCTCTCACCTCAGCGCCTGTGCATGCCTCCTGCCCGCAGCCCTAATACTGCTTCTCGTGTGCGAGTGCAGCAGTGTGGCCGCATACACTGAGGCCAGAATCCCTGAGCCTGGGCAGGGCATTTTCGTTTATGGAAAGTGCGGCCTGTCTGCCTGCATGGAGATGTTTCCAGTAGCTTCCAGGCGAGCCCCAGTGTCTGCGTTCAGGCCCACCTCTGCGGTTACGGGCCTGGGCCCCTTACAGTTGCGCACGTCCATGCAGCCGTCCAGGCTTCCAAGTGTTTGCCGCATACTCATTGGCTCGTGGAGGTTGTGTGACGACAATGCTGCTTTCTCATTCATCCGCGGCCACTGTGTGATGTGTCGGCCTCACACTGCGTGTGCCCAGGGCACAACAACCCAAGGCACTGGGCTCAATTGTGCAGCGCAGCTGTTGCTTCAGGATAGAGCCAGGAAGGGCTCACGTTGCTTTGTAACCAACTGTGCAGCGCAGCTGTTGCTTCAGGATAGAGCCAGGAAAGGCTCACGTTGCTTTGTAACCAACTGACGTGCTGTGACTGTCTGATACTACACATATGGGAAAATGTCGAACAGAGGCCTCATGTGGATTTTCAGGGCCACCTTCACTTAAGGCGGGCATGAGGCTTGCTGGGGCCACAGCCCAGCACACTTGCATGTCTCATAAAGCACCCCCAAGGGCTCATTCCTCGCAGCGGGCTCTGAGGTGCATGAGCACGAGCCTACAGGGGGTCCTGCCTCTGATGTGCACCCAAGCTGAGTCAAGAGGCCATCAGTCTTCTGATTTCGATGATAATGATAATGACTCGACACTGTCTCCATGCTCTGTGATAATCCCACTCTACTTCACACTCACCTTCATTCTTGCTCCTGCAGAGTCTCCTAGGCTGTTTAACAGTGTCATCTTTCAATAATCCCTGTTAAATGCTTGTGATGTGTGAGTGAGCCTGGCTTGTGCGAAGATTCAGCACCTCAGTCAGTTAAGGAAAGGCCCCGCGACCCCTGACCGCCCTAATTGAAGGCGGGCCTGTAAAATGAGGCCTGCCCTATTGTTAGCAGGATGGGGGGCAGCATCTTCGAGTAACTGGTAGGGTATTACATGCTGCGCCTGCACGCGAGGGCCATTTTCCAGGCCCTGCGTCCTTCAGGCTAAAAGCCTGAATTTCAGGACGAAAGCCTGAAATTTAGGGCCTACAGGCCCCGTGTCTGTTCAGCTCGTAAAGCTGGAAACAGGGGCCTACAGGCCCTGTGCCGTTTCAGACTAAAAACGGCATGAGCCTTTTTAGCCTGAAACTGAGGGCCATTTTCGGGCCCTCATCAGACCGACCTGCCGCGAAACTCAGGCACCAAACCAGGGTTTTAGGAACAGGCTATTTTTGGCCTGTTCCCACGACAGCCTCAGCATTGAGCTGCAGCGCCAGACCCTGGCCTAGTTTGGCATTGGCAAGAGCAGCCTCCTGGACTGCCCGCCCTGCAACTGCAGGCAGGCGGAGGCAGTCAGGAGGCAGACCGAGGTAGTACATTGGGACTTCCCATGCACTTCAAGGGTAGGCAGGAGGCAGTCAGTAGTCTTCAGGATTTGGCAGCAGCACTCTGGAGGAACGCTGCAGTAGTTGTAGCGTTAGCTCTTCAGCGCTGGGCGCTAGTAGCGTTAGTTGTAGTCTTCAGCGCTGGGCGCCATAGCTAGAGAAGTACTAGAGAGATTGGGCGGAGGGCAGGGATACTTACCTGCTACGCCGTTGCTCCAGCTTCGTCTTCGAGGTACCTGCAGCACAGCGCCATCTTCACAGGTCAGTACCTGGCATACAAGAGAGAGAGAGAGTTCTTCTTCTCTTCTCAGTCCACCATCTCCTTCTCACCCTTTCGCTTTCTGACTTCACTACATCAGCAGACTAAGAGAGAGAGAGAGAGAGAGAGAGAGAGAGAGAGCTTGGTGACAATGGATCCAGACTCGACATGGGACTTCAGACATTTTGAAGAGGGATTATTTGGGACTTGTAACGAGACTTGGTGTTGACGACTTTCCCATCTCCCCCTTCCTCTTCTTCGTCTGATCCCTTCCTCTTCGTCTGTGTATGTCTGGACCTGGCGCCTCTATAGTGCCAGGCCCCTTCACACTTTGTGATGAGCATGATGTATGTTTGGTCTGCGTTGAAACATCGATTGGGCTAGTCATTGGTATTCTAGCATTCTGTTTCGCTATTTTGTACTACGTGAAAGAGGTCAGTCCCGGTCGGGTCAGGACTTGTATCTAAAGTCTTTCCTGCGCTATTCAGCACCATTTTGTATGTATCGGAATGCACATTGCTTGTTGAGATTCTACTTAACACTGCATTGTCCATTCAGTCCTTTTCATGACAATGCGGATCCTCGGTTATTATGTACATCTCCCAACTGGGCATGTAACATAGGGCCAGCCCATGAGTTAGTTGAAGATGCTGGGCCTCGTGCATATTCTGGGAAGGCCTAGGGCACACGAAACTGGGACAGGGCGCAGCCTCCTCGGCCTCTCCATCCAGGACAAAAGACTGGAGGGCGCCTTCCCTCACACGTTTGTGCATTGAGGCAATGCAACAGCACTGCGCAAGCGGCTCCTTAGCGCTGGTGCATGAGGAGGAAGCTGCACAGTGGAAACGAGGTGCAGGAGAGGGAGAGCAGCCGCCATCGCCTGGTCACTCGCTTCATTGTCAGTGGTGGAGAAGTGGACGTCCTTGGTGGAACAGGGAATGGGAGAGCGAAAAGAGTCAGTGTGATGAGGCACGTACCTGGTGTCAATGAAGGCACGCTGTTCAATCAGTGTCTTCAAGCAGCATTGTGATGATCACACGTGGACCAGTTGCTGACATAAGTAGGCTAGTGTGAGAGTTGTAGTAGGTAGGGGTGGCCGGGCAGTTGCCTGTAGGAGGGCTACATTGTTGTTGTATTCGTGATTGGAGCTGTTGGAAGGGCTTTCATTATGAAGAGACTTCAGTGCTTTGCTCGTTTTTATTTGGTGTGGATCATGCTTTGATTTCTGCTTTCAATTTTGGCGCAGTGATGTCTAGTCTTCTGTGAGATGTCACTACTTCGCACTGCTTATGTCGATGCGCATGGGCATGGATTTTGTGGCGTACACATGGGCAACCCCATATGTCATTGGATCAGCACCTCTGGGACTCAGCCCTCCGTGCAAGCACGGACTTGAACCTGCGACACCTCAAGAGCCAAGTATTGTAACCACTACAGCCAGGACACGGTTTTCAAAAGTGGAACCATACCGACCGTGATATCCGCCCTACCCCTGCAAGGCTGTAGTGTCCACATTCAACTCACACCGCACAGAACACCACACCGATGCTGGCAATCACCGCACACTCCAAGTAGCACATGACCGCCATTGGT